CCAGCTGCTGGTCTACGGAGCCTCCGACGGCTTAGACTCAGCCTGGAGCTTCCACGGCGAAGATTCCGCGTTCCCACGGCATCGATTCAATGTTCCGCGAGTCTGCCCGCCCCTGGCGATGATCCTCAGGACGTGTGTTCGCCCATCGTGTGTTCCACCCGTCCAGCTCCGCCGAAGGGCACGCAGCCCGTGCCGGCCTCCATTGCGCCGCCTGCGTCGCGCTCAAGCACCTCAGTGGACACGCGCACGCTGGCGCCGGCGCGCGTTCTGAGGATCATCAGCTCCTTTTCGGCGGCGAGCGAGGGGGGGGGACATGAGAAGGCGAAGGCCTTCTCAGAAGGCGGCGGGACTTCTCAGAAGCCCCTCGCGCCTTCTGAGAAGTTTTTCGGTCGTCGGGGAAGGCTTAGAGCACTTCTCAGAAGGCCGGGGGACTTCCGAACCTTCTGAGAAGGCCTTCTCCTTCTCACTTCCCCCCCTCGCTCGCCGCCGTCCCCCTACCCCCCGCTCCCGCGCGACCCCGCTTCCGTCTGCCCCCGCGCGGGTCCTTCGCCCCCCCCTCCCTGCCCTGCGCGTTTGCCTCCCGCTCCCGCAGCCGCCGCCGCTACGCCCTCTTGCCCCGGTATATATCGCCCGCCCTGCTCTGCTTCTTTTCCTTTCGAAGAAGTCGAGTATGGGACCGACTACATATTCGATTAACCCCCAAATCGATTGTTCGTCAAATCTACGAACAGTACATCACATGCTCGTAGATCTACGGAACCATCTCCGCAGTTTTCGTAGATTCGATTGGGCAATTAATTTTGGGGTAAGTCAACTCTGTAGTCGATCCCCTACTCGAAGAGGAAAAAGCCGTGCGGGCACAGGCTTTTGGATGTCCGCGCGGACCTCCTGGACCGGCGCCGTGCTCCGCGCGCAGTGGACGGGGGGTCCAGCGCCGACCCAAGAACTCCGGGTGGACCCCTGGCAGCTCGTGGTCAGGCAGTGTTTTTTCGTTGTTCCGTGTCTTCGCCTTTGCCAGGGAGGACAAGGTACAATCATTTCGCAGAGCGAGGATGGGCAACCTTCCCAAGGGTGCCCTTGCATCCTTGCCTCCTCGGTCCATCCTTGGCCACTTTCGCGGGCCGCGCCCCGCTCGAGCAGCTTCGAAGCGGCCTTCCAAGGCCCTTACATTCTTATCGTGCATCCTCATGACACGGGTCGGTTGTACGCAGTTTTTTGGTGTAATAAACATATTGCAGTCGGGGCCCTGACGAAGGAACCCTTTTGGTTGGGGAGGGGCTCCGCGTTCCTCAAGTGTTTCACAGCTTGCCTCGGGTTCTCCTTACATTTTCGATCGGAAGTCGAAGTTTAACCTATGGAAAAAAAGGTGCCTCGTTCCTTATCTAGGGCTACTTAGGTCAACGCCCCGACGGTATTATTGTTAATGCATCTTCGTCTTCTCATGGGGAGGAGAGAAACATACCGAAACCGGGACCCTTCCGTCGTCGCCGCGGCTGGACACGAAGAGCATCCTGGTCGGGGCGCGCCCCAGGGAGGACGTCTAGGGTCAGGAGGAGAAAAAACACACAGACACAATGAATCGTCGATTCCCCAGAAGATACGGGAAAATATGGGAAGCGGGGGGGAAGGCAAACACCCAGAAAATATGGGAAACTATGGGGAATCCTTTTATTTGTGTGTATTTATTTGTGTGTCCCAGGGCCCCTTCATAGGGGGAGCAGTTATGTTGGTAGACCCTGTTGTCCTCCCGTTCCTGCTACCCTCCCCGCCTCCGTTCGGGACGATCGAAATGGGTACGGAAATAATGGGTACAACGACCGATAGGATATCCGGTTCCTTTTGAACAGGACTCGCTGTCCGCGCCGCCCCGGACGTGGTCCAGTGAATACAAAGAGCCGCCTGCCCAACAACGGCCGCCGTCGGCTTTGAGCAACATTTGTGGTTGGGCGTTGTGCCCCTTTTCTCCGTGCCCGCTTCGCGCGTCCAAGTCCACTCCCTTCCCCTCCCTGGGGTCTGCTGGGGGCGCCAGGGGCGCTCGTGAAGGTCGGGATTTCCAGGGCTCTTTCTCTCCTCCATGGTCCTGAGCGGGCGCTCCAGGCCCGTCACCTCCGTCGCCCAGGGTTCGGGCGCCCCCCCCCCCGCCCGTGCTCGTGGAGCCTTGGCGCGCTGTCCCAGCACGGTCCAGCACAGCGCTCCATCTCACCCCCCCCTCCTCCGCGGGTGCCCTTGTCCTTCCCCCTGACCCGCACCCCCTCTTCCTCTTCTCCCCCCTGCTCCTCTCCCCCTCGTCTTCCTCCTGCCTCCTTGGTTCTCCTCGCTTCTTGCGCTCCACGGAGGGGGCGGGTGATGTCCTCTCCTGGGGCATTCGGGCCGCGCTCACTCTCAGGCGATCGCAAGCATGGATCATAGGGGGCGTGGATCAGTAGCGACGGGTCCCCTTTCCATGGGACATCGCGCCGAGCGAGGCGGCACTGGCCGCATTCTGGGGAGGGCACCTCCCCCGATGCATGGATTTGGCGAGCGCCAAAACCATGTATCGCTAATCGTAAGTCGGGCCTGTCCCTCTACAGGGGGAATCTTAAACACTGGTCAAAAACTACCCAGTACCCAGGGGACGTTTTTTGCGACTATTTTTGTTGACCGTTTTGGATGTGTTTGACGGTCTTTTATGATTCGTCCAAAATCCGCATGTCGGAGGACATGCCCGACCTACCGCTAGTCCATGTTTGCGCGCCTTTAGCACTCGCGGCGAATCATCGCCGCCGCCTGCCTTTTGAAATCGCCACTGTGGCCGAGCGTTGTGGCAAGAGCTCTGCCGAGCTATCTGGCCATGTGTTTCCCCAGCCTTTGTAGAAACCCTTCGGGGAACACTTTAGGGAGGATGGCGGGGACGATCACGAGGAGGAGGAGGAGGAGGAGGAGGAGGAGGAGGATAGGAGAGGAGGAGGAGGAGGTAAAAGGAGTAGGAAGGAGGAGGAGGAGGGGAGGAGGATGAGTCAGGAGGAGGAGGAGGAGTCGGAGAAACCCCCGCTGTGGACTCGCTCAGGGGGAGGGGAGGGCGGTGCCCCCCCCACCCCTCCCGTCACTCTCCTCTCCTCCTCCTCCTCCTTCTCCTCCGCCTCCTCCTCCTCCTCTTCCTCCATCCTCTCCCTTCTCCTCCTGCTGCTGCTCCTCCTCCTCCTCCTCCTCCTCATCCTCCATCTCCTCCTCCTGCTCCTCCTCCTCCTCCTCATCCTCCTCCTCCATCTCCTCCTCGGGACTCGGCCTGCTCCGCCGTCTGCCTCGGGCTGACGTGAGCAGCGTTACGATGTTCCAACCTACTTTAGCCTTGATCGCCAGGATGAATCTCGAGCACCACGGAAGTACCGCAACTGTAGGGTTTTCACGTGTCGGGCCCCGGGAGGCGAGACTCGTTCGGCAGTGGCTCGATACCGTTCGGGGTGCTCGACATTATTTACGGGATGTGGTCCTTCAGTACGATGGGGTCAACATAAGAGCAGCGGAGTTCCTCGTAAGGCGGGCATGTCCATCGACAGGATGAATATTCATATATAGTCAAACCCGACTCAGGAGACGATGTGCCGACTATGTTTGATCATCTTGGAACACTCTTGGACAATTTTTCGCATCTCCACCAGGATCCGCCTGTAGGAGGACATGCCCGACCCAAACGTTACCTCCCTGCTGCTCTATTCGGTGGTGGCGCTGCTTGGCGTCACTGCCACCTGCAGCCTCTGCCGGGGCTGCTGGTTTGGGGCCCTACAGTCGGGGCGCTGAAGAAGGTACCCTTTTCGTTGGGGAGGGGCTCCGTGTTCCTCAAGTGTTTCGCAGCTTGCCCTGGGTTTTCCTTAGGTTTTCGATCTGACATCGAAGTTCGACTTATGGAAAATAGGGGCCTCGTTCCGAATTTAGGGTTCCCTACAAGCCTCGTCAAAAATAAACAGAAACGAAGTTGGAAATCACGACGGTCGATCTTCTCGGGCACTTGTTAGAAACTGCGTTCTTCAATGCTGCGGCGGGGTCGTCGGATTTTTGAAGCCCTTGCGCCCACGTCAGATATCTAGCGTCAGCATTGGAGTAGCGCTGACCATACAATCACCGAAAACATAATCCCTCAGTTTATTTTTGACGAGGGTTGTAGGTCAACGCCCCGACTGTAGCGCCCCAGCGGTGGAGGCGTCGGCCCTTCGCCCGCGCGAGCGCAGCCATCGGTGCCTCCGAGGCTCACGGCCGCGCCGCGCGGCGCAGGCCGTGGCTGGCCATCCAGGCGCGCAGGATGAAGCCTCGCGCGCGAGCCTCGGGCAGGGCCACGGGACCTCCGCGCGTGCCGCCGAGGGCGACCGCCGCCCCCGCTGCGCCGGGGGAAGCAGCTACCTCCGAGGGCCCAGTGTCGCAGGCCCAGAGATTGACACCAACACCTATTTCGGCGGTTTGCCTCCACCAAGGGAAGGAGATCCCGATCTCGGAGATGGTGGTCATATTCTGGCTTCCAAGGTGGCCCGAACTAGTACCACCAACACCGAACATCTGGGATCACCTTCCCCCTGTGGAGGCAACCCCCTGTCTTGGTGCTGGTGCCAATTTCCAGGCCTCCGGGGGCCCAGTGGAGCCCGACCTCCCCTCCTCCGGGGCGCCGCCGGCCACCAGACGACCTCCACTCCTCCGCTGGCGCCCGGGCGAGGGCGACCCGGCGGGCCACGCCGCGATGCGGCGGGCCTATCGTGGCCTGCAGGGTGTCCGGCCGGCGTTGTGCCCGCGGCGTTGCGCTCGGCCGAGGCTCTCCGCCTCGCGGGAGCCGACGGCCTCCCAGAGCTGGCCGCTCCTTGCCGGGTGGGCGAGCTGCCCCCGCTCGGTGCGTCGTCCGCCAGTGGGGCTCCGCTGCGTCGGCGCTGGTGTCGTCGGCGTATAGAGGTCGCGGAGAGGGGGCGGAGCCGCAGCGCTGCACCCGCCGGCCGACGGGGGCGCCGATGGTGGGGCGCTGCCCTTCGGGGCCGCGCGAGGCCGCGCCTGCTGGCTGCGCCCGTCGGGTTGTCTGTGCCCTACGCGATGGCTGCCTCGCGATTCACGGGGCTGCCGCCCCGAGACGGGGCCGAAGCACTGCCGGGCGTGCCATGGACAAGCCCTTGCCATGCGGCAGACGTGGTGGAGGTCCAGGAGGACGACGCCGATCACGACGGCGGCCCCCCTCTTCCTCTGAGGGGCCCCCGGCTAGCTGCGATGTCTCCCCCGCCCCAGCGGGGTGGGCAGAGCGCCGCCCCGAAGCTAGCGGGTCTCACGGCACGTTCGCGAGCAGCAAGCGCCCTTGCAGCCACCTTCGACGAGGGAGCACCTGTGACCCGTGCCGAGGTCCAGCTGGAGATCCGCCGCTTGATGGCTGGGCAGACGGCCCAGACGGTGGCTCCTCCGCTGGAAGCTCCCGCGGACCCGCGCAGCGCTCGCGTCGAGGCGCCGCAGCTGTTCGCCGGCAAGGCGGCGCGTGTGGGGGTTCCCCAGGCCGATCTGCAAGCCATGCTCGCGCCCCCCTCCCCCGCTCCTCAGGGCCGTGCGACTACGCCAGCGTTGGCCCTGGTGGCGAGGCTTGTGGGCGTTCAGCATCCGCTGCCTCCGCCTCTCGCCCCCCTGCCACTCCCGTCGGGGCCTTGGGCTTAGGCGATTGGGCGGCTGGGCGGCCGTGCGCCTCTGCTCGACCCGCGCGGCCAGCGCCATTTTGGGCGCGAGGCAGAGCTTCTCCGCCTGCCGCCCTAACTCGGCCCCTTCGTGACCTTGGGCCGTGGCTTGCCAGGGGCGATTGTTTCCACGTGCGCAAGCTGCGCCTCCCGAAGGCCCCCAGCGTTGAAAGCGATCTCGCTGGTTGCCCGCGCACGAGCTGCGCCGGGCACGCCGGGGAAGCGGCAGCCGACGGAGGCGTCGCTCCTCAGGCGCGCCCAGGCTCTCCTCGCAGCGGGCCGCTGGGGGCCCATCGTCGCGCCTTGCCGCGGCGGCGGCGGTCGCCAACGCCTGCGCCCGAGCTCGGCGCCACGGTGAGGGTGGGGACCGCGCGCTGGCCCCGCATGGGCCACGAGGCGGCGCCCGTTCGCCGCGACTTGGCGACAGCCTCTTTGCTCGCCCTATCCCGCTCGTCCTTGGAGGGTGCCGCTGCTGGTGCCGGCGCGCTGCTGCGCGCTCTTCCAGCCCCCCATGTCCCGCCCCCGCCCGAGCAGACAGCGCTTCGTCGCCGCCCCGCCCACCCGTTCGCTCCGCCATCTGCTGACCTGAAGGGGTGGATGCAGGAGCGGGTGTGCAGGTGGTTTGGGTGCGAGTGGGATCCTTTGCCGAGCGGGCGAGTGGCAAGGTGCCACGGCGTGGGCCCCCTTCTCCTAGTGTCTGGGGAGTTTCAAGGCTTTGCTGGGGGGCCGTGTCGCAGCGAATCGGATGCGGCATGATTCCGCGGGCTGTAATCTTGGAGCCACCACGGGGGGCCATGGTGGCCCGAAGCGCTGGACGTATTCTCGAAAATGGTTTCCTTCGTAGAGTTGCCCTGGGTGGCCCCTCGCAGCAGAGCTTTCGGAGGCTGGGAATGTTGTTCCATGCTCGCAGCTTGCTCGACGCCGGGGCCAACGTGTCGGGCCTCGCAGCGGTTCCCCCCGGAGGCCGCCCTAGCCATCCGTTCGTCGTCTAAGACGGTCGCCGATCTGGTTCTGTGGTTGGCGATCTCTGGTTGATCGTCCATCGATGTTGTGCCTCCTCCTGCTCCTTGTCCTCCTTTTCATTCTCCTTGTCCTCCTCTCCCTCCTGTTCGTCTTCGTCCTTTTCGGCCTCCTCTTGATCTTCGTCCTTTTCATCCTGATCTTCTTCCTCCCCCTCCCCCTCGTCCTCGTCGTCGTCGTCTTCCTCCCCTCCCACTCCCACTCCCGTGTCGCAGCCCGAGGCCAGATTTTAGGGCGGGCCGGGCGTTTCGCTTGAGACTTCCTCACCATTTATAAGCCTGAAGTTTCAACGTTGACAACGGTTTCACATATGGAGGGCGGCCGTTTTCAAACTGTGGCTCTCGCCTGAGCGCTGCGCGCATTCGTTTTACAGCTATGCAAGTGTTTCACGGATTGACTGCGATTGGTGTTCAAAATGTGGTTTTTGACGTAGCGCCACGCACATTCGTTTTAACAAATTGCAAGAGTTTCACGGACTGCGGGCTGGTGGTTTCCAACATGTGGTTCTTATCTTAGCGCCGCGCACATTCGTTTCAAACATGTGCATCCGTTTCACGGATTGAGGGCGGTTTTTTTATCAACATGTGGATATCGCCTTAGCGCCGCTCGCGCACATTCGTTTTAAACATGTGCAGTAGTTTCACGGATTGAGGGCGGTTCCTTTTCAATTTGTGGTTCTCGCCTGAGCGCCGCGCACATTCGTTTTAAACATGTGCAAGGCTTTAACGGATTGAGGGCGGTTCCTTTTCAAACTTTGGTTCTCGCCCTAGCGCCGCGCGCGCACATTAATGTTCAACATGTGCAAGAGTTTCACGGATTGAGCGCGGTCCCTTTTCAAGATGTGGCTCTCGCCGTAGCGCCGCGCGCGCGCACATTCGTTTCAAACATGTGCAGTAGTTTCACGGATTGAGGGCGGTTCCTTTTCAATTTGTGGTTCTCGCCTGAGCGCCGCGCACATTCGTTTTAACCATGTGCAGTAGTTTCACGGATCGAGGGCGGCTCCTTTTCAAATTTTGGTTCTCGCCCTAGCGCCGCGCGCACACATTCGTATACGTTCGTTTACAACATTTGCAAGAGTTTCACGGACTCCCATGATCAGCGTATCACAAATGGTGTACATTGGTTCGCGTTGTTGAAGTTACAGGAATGGCGTTCTGGCACGATTCAGGGTCGTCAATACGCAACAGTCAGGTTGATCCGTGGCGTTGGAATCCCGAGAACAATGCCTCGGCAGACTTCAGGGTATTCAACCGGTTGTTTTCCAGCGAGGCATTTCCCTTATTTGAAATGAACCATTGTAGGGCCTTATCAAGGGAGAGCTTGGAGGGATGGTTTATTCCAACATCGTGTGTGACCCTTGGGTTTGCACTGGTCCTCCTCCTCTTCCTCCTCCTCCTCCTCCTCCTCCTCCTCTGGGGGAGGACCGTGGCGCCCGAGACATCGGGAATGCTGAGGCGGACGAGGAGGAAGTGGAGGAGGAGGAGGAGGAGGAGGAGGAGGAGGAAGAAGGAGGAGGAGGGGGGTGAGGTGAAGACTTCAGCCAGGAGGAATAGAGGTTGCAGTAGGAGGAGGAGGAGGAGGAGGAGGAGGAGGAGGAGGAGGAGGAGGAGGAGGAGGAGGAGGAGGAACGAGAACTATGAACGCAGGCGCAGGAATCTTACGACGGGGACAAGGATGAGGATGAAGATGGGGATGAGCATGGTAGTGATGATCATGTTGGTGAGGAGGCGGGGGGGAGGATGAGGAGACCGAGGTGGAGAAGGATGATGAGGTCCATGAAGGCACATATTTAGCATACATGCGATGAGGAGCGGAATGAGTAAGATGGCGTTTCCCGTCCTAGCATTCCCCGCGTTATAGCTGCCGCCGCTGTCGTCGCCGCCGCAGGACTCGTTGCCCCGCCGTTGGAACCGCCGTCGCCGTTGCCGTAGTCGTCGCCGCCGCCGTCGTCGCCACCGTCGCCGTCGTCGTTGCCGTCGTTGCCACCGTCGCCGTCGCCGCCGCCGTCGTTGCCGTCACCGCCGTCGTCGTTGCCGTCGTCGTCGCCAATCAGCCTCCAGGCGGCGCGCACGGCGACACCCAGGGCGCCGTGATCGGGGCCGTCCGCGGCCCAGGGGGGTCGACCCCACGAGGAGGATGCCGACGACGGCAGCGACGACGGCGATGCTGATGATGATGGTCATGATGATGCTGATGCTGATGCTGATGCTGCTGCTGATGCTGATGCGGATGGTAACGATGCTGCTGACGGTGCTGATGATACCGATGAGAAGGATGAGGATGACGACGCTGTCGATGATGATGCTGATGATGCTGACGCTGATGCTGGTGATGATGTCGCCAGTAGTGATAATGATGATGATGGTGATGATGACCATGGTGATGGTGATGCCGATGGTGATGATGATGATGCTGCTGCTGAGGATGAGGATCCCGATGCTGATGATGCTGATGATGCTGATTTTGATGCTGCTGCTGATGATGTTGATGCTGATGATGCTACACATGATGAGGCTGATGACCATGGTGATGATGCTGATCACGATTGTCTTGATGCTGATGCTGATGCTGAGGCTGATGCTGATCATGATGATGATGATGATGATGATGATGATGATGATGATGATGATGATGCGGATGCTGCTGCTGCCGAGGTCGACGACGATGGTGATGATGGTGGTAATGCTGATGCTGACAATGCTGATGCTGATGCTTCTGCTTATGCTGCTGATGATGGTGCTGATGAGGATGCTGATGATACTGTTGATGATGATGATGATGCTGCTGCTGCTGCTGACGATGCCGATGAGGCTGATTATGATGCTGCTGCTGATGATGATGCTGATGATGTTGATGCTGATGATGATGATGATGATGATGATGATGCTGATGATGATGATGATGATGACGATGGCGCATGGCGAGGACGACGACGTCGACGATGACGATCCTGGTGGTGACGACGACGGAGGCGACGACCATTACACTGACGATGGCGATGCTTTTTTATGACGATGGCGATACTACTGATTATGCTGGTGGTGGTGTTGACGTTGCTGATGGTAAAGGGTGATGCTGCTTATCAGACTAATGATGATGCGAACGCTGGTGAGGATGACGATGGTAATGGCAACGAGGCTGGCCATGACGACGTTGATGCCGAAGTCATGCTTGTTATGAGGATGGTGGTGATTATGATGGTGGCTGTGGCGGTGATTGGGCTTGTGAGAGTGATGATTGTGATGATTGTGATGGTGACGACGTCGACGATGGTGACGAGGAACAGTCTGAGGATCCACCGTTGCCGTAGCAAGTTCTCTCACGTATACTGCCGCTCGAGTCGCGAGAGCTCACAGGCGATCGCAGACCCCGTGGTTTGTGAAGAACCCTTCGCCTTCGCATCTCTTCAGAACTCCTATGACGAGCCCGCTCACTTTAAGGGTAGCTCTTTGGGAGATGTTACAGTATCGGGAGCATAGCTCGCGCGCCGTTGCCTTTGGCCCAAGGCACGCGCGCCCTATTTGCCCGGATACCTGATGGTATTCGCTATTTGCCCGGATACCTGATGGTATTCGTTATTTGCCCGGATACCTGATGGTATTCGCTATTTGCCCGGATACCTGATGGTATTCGCTATTTGCCCGGACACCGCGAGTGTTCGCTATGTGCTGGAAAGATCATTACATCGATCTTATCCTATCTTACCCATCCACCCCTCATACTGTACCTTCACAGCAGAGCGATGGATGCAATTTGCCAGGCTATATGCCATATTTGAGCTACCAGGCTCACTTTCGACTTGGTAGCGGAGCTGGCCGCACTCTCGTGTGGTCAGCTCTTGCTCTTCTTAGCCTCATATTCTTCGGCACGATCTTCGTGACTACCTACCACCCTGTGTTATCATTCCCAGTACGTTTACGAGGATCTGTTCAAGAGCAAGAAGCAACACGAGAGGTACGACGTCTAGACGACCAGACTGGTACCATATACGCTTCATCATTGCGTTACCACCAACCGCTCGGCAACGAGCCAACAGCGCAATACTTGAAGCAGGGGCGGGGAGACCCGCCAGACAGAGCGCCTCGAAGACTCGACAAGGCGCTACCCCAGCGCGACAACGCGCATCATAACCGTCCTTCGTTACACATTCTCGGGCTAGTCGTTTTCGCTATTATATGGTTCGCGCTGGGGGCAGCAATCGGACACATGCGTCGTGGAGAAAACAGCACCGATGGGCAAACACATGGCCCATATTGGGACCCTCAAGGTAATGTACCTTTTCGTGAGTACATCTACGAGGTCAACGCATGGCTCAACGTTACAAGCGGACGTATGACGCCACAGGCCCAAGCGGCCGCAATACAACGCGGCCTAGGTGGCCTAGCGAGGACACTCGCCATGAGGGTACCGCCTGACATTATAAACTATGGTGCTGACATCGATGGGGTCCACACAGACCCAGTGACCTACATCATGTTCCTCCTAAGCATGAAGTTCGAACGCCTGGAAGATGAGCGACAGCTCACTTCCGGCACACAACTCATCGACTTCCACGTGCCTCACGGGGAACGAATCGATGTCACCCTTACCCGATTCGAAATGGCCCGACTTGAGGCACAGTCGGTGGGATTCGACCTTCCCAACTTCCAACTGCTAACCACTATCCTATTCCGCGCCTTAGGCGTCGGCAACCAGCGAGCCATGCAACTCTTACAGCCACTCAATCACCAAATGCCCCGAACACAACAACAGTATGATGAGCTGCTGGAGAGGATGCGTTCGATAGGCCACCTATCCGAACGGTCTCCTGGTAACATAGGATCTGTGTTTGGAAGGGGAAGGGGATCTGGTAGTGGAAATTTCTACACTACCTTGACCACTGAAGCCCAGCCTGGAAACGGGCCCTCAAGCATATGGGCCGATGACCCAGGAGAATCCACTGCTTTATTAGCAGGGGATCGATCACAACCAAGCTGGGCAACCAGCCCTCCTTCTAGAGAACCACAACCACACCGTTCTTTGTGGGGGGAATCAAACCCCCTAACCGACGGTGTATCCACCTACTTGGGAGACGAGGATTTCGACTCCGGCACCGATACAGACACTATATCATCAGATGGTGTTGAAGCTTTAGATTGGTCAGATATTATGAATATGGATAACGACAATCAGCGTGCTGAGCATTTGTTCTGGTTATTACAACAGGCTAAACGAAGGTGGAGGAGGTTCACACGAAAACCAGTGCGTCGTGTTAGAAGGAGGATACGTAGAAGTTTTAAAGGAAAGGGTAAAGGCAAGCGAGGTCGTCGGAGGTTGAACGGACGAGGTTTCGCGGCATTTCTCCAGAGGCTCTCAGATGAACAACATGACGAGATATTCTTTGGGGGAAAAGGCCGTGGTAAAGGCCGTGGAGAGACCTCAGGTAAAGGCAAAGGTCGGCGGGGAAACCCGCGAGGTAGAGACGGCCAGGTTCTCAAATGCCATGAATGTGGTAGTTCCGATCATCTTGTGCGAGATTGTCCAGTGAAGGGAAATGGAAAGGGCAGGTCGACCGAAGTCCATTTTGGCTCAAGTGAACCATCCATTGAATATCTGAGCCTCCAGGACTTTGAGGCTATGGAGCAGATGTTTTTCACTTGGGTTGTTGGCATGGACAACGTCGACGAGCTCGAAGCGTATGGTCATGGATTGTACGCGTACTACCTCGAGTACGTCCGCCGGTTCGTTATGGGCAGTAACGAGCTTACTCCCGTGGAACACGGTACGCTGGGAAACCAGCCTCTTTCTTTCTACGACTGGATGTTCGGGAACCCAGGCAACATCATGGCCTACGAGAGTGACGACGAGGACACCACTATAGAGGCTTCGCCTTCCGAGGTTCAACGGAACCTCGAACCTCCGCTCGAAATCCCGCCTGGAAACAGGCCGTCTCTGATGGGAGAATATCCCCAGACCACTGAAGACTTAATTGAAATGGAGTCTCAGGCATTTGTTCAGGCCTTCATTGCAGGCGAACCAGATACTCCGTTCATACCTCCTGGTTCGCTTGCTCCAGGCGAATACGGACCACGCACCCTTTTGCAGACCCTCATGAGGATGCATGAGATACTTATAACTGGTTATCCTGAGAGTCAAGAACATATCGAAGCTGACATTATGACAGAACAGGATACTGATGCTTGCGGTAGCTCAGAGCTGTTGTTGGCAGTTCTGACTCTCATTGACAGCGTGCATCCTCAGGACGTGCAGAGACACTTGATATACTCCCGTGGTAGATGGCGTAATGCTCTAGAAATGGCTATTGCTATGCGCGGTCATGATCTTCCTCCGCCAGGATGGGGTCTCCAGGCGGTGGGAATGAGGCCAAACCATACGGCCATGCGTAACATTGCTGGGCAGCCTGTGCTCGGCAACGAGCCTGAGCCGACAACGGTGCCTCCTACTCCGGGGCAGCCGAGCGACGCACAGACGCCGGCTATGCAGGGAAACCTGCTTGTACCAGATACGCCAATGGCCATCATCATCGGTAGTTCGACATCAGAAGAAGTAGAAGGCGATGGTTGCGGGTTAGATGAGGATGACGTCACCATCCTCATGATGGACGTGAATGGTGAGGAAGAGGTTGACTTCGATCCTGATGAGTCTGAATCATCATCAACATCGGCACAAGCGCCATTTGCGCCGAGCTCCACCCAGCAGGGAGACCTGCCTCCATCGGACGATCTATCTGGGATCGCACAGGAGCCTCCTCAGGCACCTTCACCGGGTGCCGCTCCTGCTGCTTCGGCAGCTTACTCTGATGAGAACACCAGAAGATCTCGTTCCCATACGCGCGTCAGAGAAGAGCCACATCCACAGGCTCGACTTTCTCGTGAGTGGAGGCAGGCTGGCCCAAAATAACACGCTCTCAGGAGAGGTGGCCAGCTACTTCCGTACAACGACCCAAGACGCCGAAAAGGGGAACACTCGGCCTTTGGCAAGGGCAACCCTGCCTATAGGGACAGTGATGGCAAGGCCATCCGCGGAGGCTATCAGCTTGCAACAAATATCCGCCGCCCTGAAATTCAAGAAGCGCGGACTCAGTTGCGAGATATTATCGCG